TTGTGCTGCATTTCGAATTTAAAGCCAACATGGTGGTACAATCCAGTAAGTAAAAATTTTAATGATATTTATAAACCTAGTTTAATAAAGGTAATATATGTTTGGCTCAAAGTCCAAGAATTATTAGCGTCATTGAATAATCCTAATCAACCAAACAAAATTGTACTTATTACTGTAGCCAAATTAGGATTTTATGAGTTGGCTTCAACTTAAATGCATTTTCTTCTTCCATTTAATTGCAATTAAAATGTAAGCATATTAGAACAGGTGTTTATGATTCATTGCATTCATTTCACGTTATACATTTTGAGTTCAGTTCGAAAAAAAAAGTATACTTAAGAAATWAGAACAAAAAAAATCGATAAAGTTTTATGCTATACTTTATAGACGAGCAGCACTACTTCAGATCCTGAAGGACGTTGGGAGATGAGCAACTGTAGAGAACTATTACCCGGTAAATTACAAGTGCACTGGGAAGTGCAAGGCGATTGGGTTCAAGTGCAGTTGACCGGAAAGATACGTGAAAACCAATACATGGCTTTTGGTCTCAGTGGTAACCAAAATAGGTTAGTACCATTAATAGTTATATACATAATATATAATATATAATAGTATTTAGCTAGAATACGTAATAATTTATATTCTTTATACAATTTCAAATCAATATTTAAATATGTGTATATATAATATAAAATATACCTAATAATAATATTGTTATATTGTTCTCTAAAAAAAATAACCAACAATTTTGTTTAAAAATACGAAAATTCGGGGRCGGAATTGACACTGTAAATATTAACGCCTATGCCCTATAATGTAATAACTTTGAAATATAATAGTAAATAAAAAATGAGWACTTTTATGCTTTTTCTGAAATATCGATACACGAAAAGTTAAACTTATTTAGAAATTGTCCTATATAGTGAGACGTCCTTATATAAGTATATGAGTGTTCTGCAGTATTATACGAGTATGTATGTAACAAACGTATAACACGCCTCTCGATAATTTTCCTCCGCGCAAAGAAATTCTACGAATCATAAATTTCTTTTTTATGGCGAAGGGAGAGTGGTGCTGCCACGGCAGAGAGTGTTGCGAAAACCGGGCGAAGAAAAAAATAAAGTCGCAGCCGCCCCGAAAACATATTTATGTTAAAATATAAACGATGCATAATTAATATTCAACCTCGACAGCGTGACTATGATCGGCGGCGACGTAGTGGTAGTGTTCTACAACCGAGCTAAGAACTCGTTCCACGCAGAGGACTATTACCTGTCTGCTACTACCGAGTGCGACGACAAGAACGGCGTGTGCCAGGACGAGCGACTGGGTGGCAGGAACGATGCGGTTCTGGTGACCGGCACGCGGCGTAACGGCGTCACGTGCATCGTGTACCGTCGGCCGGTTCAGACCAACGAGGCCATCAACGACCAGCCAGTGCCCGTTGACGCGGCCGCACTGGTCATAGCAGCCATCGGCCCACTGGGAAGTTCCGATCAGCCTGGCGCCCACGCCATCCAGGACATGACCGCAGGTAAGGTTCTGCCATCTTGTTACCGCGAGATGCCTGCAGCTATGCATAATTTATCACTTTGTCAAACGTGTTGTTCGGGTATTGGGCGGGATGGAAGGACTTTTCAAGGGGCCTGTGCAGTGGCATATTTTGAATATTTTTGCTTGGAAGGAGATCTAGCGAAATATGAAAAATTCTTCGAATAAAGACGGCGAACAATACTGATCCAACATATTATTATCCACGTGTACACTATCGGTATTGCAAAAGTATTTTATTTGTCCTGTATTATACATATTTTATTGTTTGTACACAAATATAGTTTCAACTTATCTGCTCCGAAATTCTATTCAATTCAAAATGTTTGAAAACTATTTCGAGATAGGAAAACCAATCGGCACACATCACTCAACGTCAAAATGTTCTTGAAAATAAGCTATCGCAAACATACACGAACACCTGTGTCACGATAATAAAATTCGCACGCTGGTTTTTTTTTATGACATATCGTCAATTATTATTGTACTACTTGACTTTGGTTTTTACCAACGTGCATTATTATAGTACATCATATATCAATGTGTATTATAGCCTATAGGTTAGGAAATCACTTTAGGTACTTGCTGCATGAATGAGTGAATAGTTTTGCATTATTATTAGTTATGACTTATGATTTATACGTATATATTATAATAATGCAAATTTAATATGTACCTATAAAATTATAAAAAAACATAATAATGCACTACCTCGGCTGTTTGAAATTCCTTTTGCCTTTATGAATACAACGTTTATAATGTTCGTTCATTCATTTACTTGAAAAATAAATTTTTAATTACCTACTTGAGTTAATTTAATCTGCATAAACGTCTTCGCATTGATCTTTCGTCTATACACCCACACGCATAATTGAAATACCTATAAATGTTTAATTATATTATAAGTTTTAATGTAATAATCGGCCAAACGTGTTHGTGTTAAAACAAGTTACGTTATATAATTTCGTATATTGAGGTAAATGGAAACCGCGAGATTAAACAGATGATAAACGGACAGTAAGATTATTAATATTTTTATTCGTTAAACTGCATAATTGTAGCTGTCGAGCATGTCATTGTATAATGGATGTATTCTATTTGAATTCAATAATAATATGTCATTACATACAAAAAATGATTCTGAGCTAAGACGTTGTGTCTCCATTAATATAGACATACTCCAATATTTGTATGAATAAAAAATATTTAATAATWAAAAATMAAAAATAACTCATGGCTATAAATAGATTAATAGTTTTTGTGTTACACAAAAAAATAAAAACTTTTTCAAAAATTGGTTTTATCCTTTATGTAAAAAAATAAGATTTTTCCCAGAGTTTCGAAAACTACTGAGAATTTTCAATTTTGATCTGTCAAAATAGTCGAAAATATCAGTTAAATTCAGTGCAGCTATATCAAAAATGTCGTACATATTATCATATATTTATATATTCGTGTTCTTACATTATATGTACGATTAGATGTTTCAATTGATGAGTATTAAATATAATATATTGAATTATAATGAAATTGGACRAACACAATAATATTTTGAAAACGATGATTGTAAATAATATTTACCAAAYCCATTGTCAGAAATTGGGTGACATACATGGTTTAGGCCCATAAAAAGTATTTCGAACATTAAATATATTTAGATTTTAAAATTTAAAATTTTTTAAATACAAAATTAATATTCACATTTTCGTGACTTCAAATAGGTAAACTAAACAAAATTATAGGATATATAGGTATTTTAAGTTCTTACACGCTCTGAAAAAAATCTATTTAAACTTACCAATAACCAAACCTTATCGGTGTTCACAGACGAAATACGAATAAATTTCAACTCCAGGGACGATCACTCGTGTACAATATCCCTRTACAATCTGGACGATGACATGGAGCTCTCCGCSTGGCCGCCGAACATCGTCATTGGCGAAAARGAGTTTAGAGCAAAGCTCGGGCCATCGGGTGGTGCTCGGGGTTACACGGCCATTACTGGTAAGRATTTAACATAGCTGTAATGGATGCGGTCAAAGAAATCGAGTTATTAATATAATTCAATACAATCTTGACCATTATATATAAACAGGAAATGTTTATGACGTTGTTAGGGGAAATATCTGGATCTACTGAACCGATTTTGAAACGTTTTAAACGTTGGTTTACGGACCGACGGAATTAAAATTCTTCGGTTTTTAAGTCTACCTAGCTATCACCGACATATTTTGTCTAAGATGGATAAGCAATGGAAAAACATTTTCATATTTTTTTTTTTCATATTATATATTATTTTAATCATAATATATTCAACAAATTAAAAAATAAATAATATTTCAACTATTACAACCATACCTACATATCTAACACATCTTATCAATTTATCACAAATTATGAGTGTATAGCGTACATGCAGTATTAACTTGCGAAAAAAATATTAACAATTAGCTGCTATAGTTATAATATTATACTGGACAGTGTAGGTAAATCAAAAACATACCTAGACAATTTAATATTAACAGATGGGTATTTAACAATTTCAATAATTTTCAATTTTTTCAGGACATACTACGGGTGACGTCGTCTGGTACATAAACGACAAACTCATACCTGAAATCTACGTAGAAAGGAGACAGACCTACACGTTCATTGTCGAAGGAGGTAATTTAATAACATTAATGGTTTATTATTTATGTATACTCGCGTACAATACACACAACGTAGGTATTGTTTGCTTAAATTATTCAAATATTTACTAATATGATTAACGAGATCGATTAAAACACAAACACCTAATGAATATAATTAACAATTCGCGAAGGAAATGACCCCAACAAAGGCGAACACTATCACCCGCTTTACATCACGGACAGCAGTGAAGGAGGATTCGGACAGAAAGACGATGCGGAACAGAGGAAACAGCGGGTTTTTGCCGGAATTGTCTACGACTCTGACGGCTTACCTTTTCCTACGACAGGTATTCTATTCACATTAATTTATTACGCAAAAGTTTGGTAAACGTTTAGTGTAAAACCTTTTTAATATTAATATTAATATCTATTGTAGACATAATACACATACACATGCTATTCGGATTTGAAATACCACCAAATCTACTTAAAAGTACTTAAAATTGCCTCAACTCACTTAACAAGGGGTTTTTTATGTCCTGTTATTTAAATAGATATCACAATATTTTAATAATTAAARTATGAGAGCTTAAATATTATTATTAATTTTTATTTAAAAATATTAAGATTTTAAATTGAAGCAATGTATTTATATTTGTATTTACAACAGCAAATAATTAAAAACATCAGTGCCTCTGGGCTCGGATGTATTATAATATGAATCTTACATTCCACTCAGAATTTAAAATGAAATTCGAGCTTTGGGATTGATATAATTCTATTAAACGGAAAAGTCGCTTTGCTGTATAATAGGCCTATTTCAATATCAGRTCACTGTAACAGATATATTAAATGTGAATTCAAYGATTATAATCATTGTAKTATTGTACTGAAAAAACTATTTTGATCGGAGAACTCACATTTTTTTAAAAATATCTTATAATAATAATTTATATTAAGTACTATTGTCTATTACACATTTTTTTTTCTATATTAGTGGTCAGTAGGATAGAATTAACTTATTTTTTTCAAACATTTGAAAATTTATAATATATTATATATTATATTACTTA